ACCTATCTATTTATGGTTTTTTGAGATAGGGTTTCTCTGTGTAAGCCTTGGCTGTCTTAGAACTCACTCCTTAGACCAGGTTAACTGGCCTCTAACTCAAAGATCCACCTGCCTTTGCCTCCTGAGTGCTGGGATTAAAGGCACATGCTTAAAAAAAAAACAGACAATTTTTTAATGACCATAATGTAACCAGAGGAAATTAAGATTTCCACTAACATCCAGTAATGATCATCTTGGGAAAAGGTGAAACCCCAGACAGGAAATGCCAGCTGTCCTTGCATCAAGCAAGAAGGACTCCTTCTCCTGAGTACATAGGCCAGGAAGACGCGAGATATCTCTAATATGAAAATAAGCCATCCTTGCCATGTGAAGACACTGTGCTCTTTCTGCTGGCAGCGGTGTCGCCAGCTAACTACATGCAGAGCATCCCTCTCCAAATATGCCATATATTGATGGATGGTGACTGGGAAAGAGTGGGGTAGGAAGATGGTCTTGGAGTCCTCTTTTCCCAGAAGGAAGGTTTCCTTCTCCACCAATCAGATGATATTCTCACGGGGGGAGACTCAGAACACCGTCAATATTCCAATAGATTCACCCAGATTCTTAACTACTTTCCCACACCTTATTGCTTCTATCCCAAGCAGCATTTTCCTTTTCCTCATCACATTTCATAATTTATTAATCTTCTTAAAGTGGTATATGACCCCCTGGGTCTAATTGTTTCTTTGGGATTTGGAGGGTTTTTTCTCCTATGGATCTCTCCATGTACCACATAAAAATATCAACATCAACAGAGAAATCCTGTCTCAAAAAACCAAATATGTGTGTGTGTGTGTATCTCAACATCAAATTAGATTTCAGCACTTTATGGCCTGTTCATCAGCTCCTAGGCTCCACCTACAAAGCTGAGAGATGAGAGGTTTGTCTTCACTTCCTACAAAATCAAGCAGGACACGAGAGAAGCTCTGTGTGTCACCTCTCAAGAAATGACCAGTGTTACTAGTTCTGTGCAATCTGATAACCCCGTAGTGTTCCCATTTGCAGGAGATGTTTAGCTACATCATGAGATGCGGCGACACACCATACAACCTCAGAGAGAGGGAGTCACTTTGAGGGGAGCTGCTCTACTTTGGGCCTTGAAGCCTCTACACCTTGTATGATTACAATTGACTTAATAATTTAGAAAAGAAAAGTTATTTGGAAATAAAATGATCCGAAGTAAACTTGACCATAAGCATATACAAAGAGTTAAGAATACAATTAGAAAACCATCTTGGGGGCGTGCAATGGGATGAGGAAGCAGACTTGAGCCAAAAGCAGAAGCAAAACTAAGCATACAGAGGAGAAAGCAGAAAGCCATCGTAACGGCTACTGCTGCTCACATGATATAATAGAAATGACTCACACAGTGTTTTTCACATTTGTGTCACAATGCATGTTTTAGCTTGCATGTTCCTGAAAGTGAATTAACTTTTGGATAACCACGCAGAAAGGGCTCTAAGGACGAAGCTAGGTCTCTAGGATCCTATGTCATTCTTAGATGCTAAAGACCGAAGGAAGTGGTTCTCAACCTTCCTCTTGCCACGACTCTTTAATACAGTTCCTCATATTGTGATAACCACCAACCATAAAATTATTTTTACTACTACTTTGTAACTGTAACTTTGTTACTGTTATGAATCATAAAGTAAATATCTGTGTTTTCTGATGGTCTGGGGTGATCCCTGTGAAAGGCTGTTTGTCCCCCCCCCAAAGGGGTCGTGAACCACGGGTTGAGAACCACTGACTGAGAAGCACACAAGTGACCATAAGACCTCACCAGACATGAAAAGGATCGGTACTCTGGAGTCATCCAGTAAGTGACTACTGACCATAAAAGATGAATTCCATGGAGACCTCAGCGGAATCACAATATAGATGACACTTTATGTACATCCATGTTAATAGTTCACATAAGGACACCCGAAATTTATGAAAACTCATGGCGTCTACAGAGCTGTCTCCCTACTGATCCGGTAAGGGATCAGTAGTATGAAGTGTTCCCGATGTCTTTTCTCAGCTTATCCCTTTCTCTCTGGAAGAAATGGTCCTCAGTGTGGATCACGGTTGTTCCATCTCCTCCTGGCCACCCTACCCATCATGGCACCGTGAGTAAATTGGCATTAGAATGTGCTAGCCCCAGCCCCATCTCCCTCCTCCAGCTAGCCCTTTCTAGTTTTTGTTTGCCAAGAAGAAGCAATACCATCTGGAGGAAGAAGGAGAGAGCAGATTGTCAACTCACAGCAAGTGTAACTTCATTTTATTGGCTCAAGCCAATTTTGTTATATGAGTCAGTTGGAAATTATAATTTTGGAATATATTAATGGAATTTTATATGAAGAAGTCCCTTGTAGAAAAAAGTAGTCTAGGGCCAGCGTGGTGGCTAAAGGTGCTTGCTGAACAAACCTCATGCCCTGACTTCAATCCCAGAACCCACATAAAGATGGAAGGAAAGAACCGACTTCTCAAAATTGTCCTCTAACCTCCACTTGAGCCCAAACACATCAAACACATACATACATCAATAGCAAAATAAAATAAAGTTTTAAAGAAAAGAAAAACTAATCTAATTCCATCACTAATAGTCTCAGTAAGTGACAAAGATGGGATTCTAACTCAAGTCAGTATATTTTCTGTGATATTTGGGAAGTATTCATAAACAGGGGTTGTAATGCATGAGCTTGTGACACAGGGGAACTGGAGATTTTTAAGCTACAAAGGGGAAGGACTGGTGACATTATCATTTTAAATACCCATAGGGCTGGTATATATGAAAGGGCTTGAATTTACTCGCTTGTTAGCTTGAGGAGACCAGGACCACTATATAGGGTGCAATATAGGGAAGGTTTTTTACATTTAAGTAGAAGACCATAGCTTATATATAAGCAGCTAAAATTAGCCAGAACAATTTCTTGAGAAATAGTGAGTTTTCTGCCACTGAGGCATTTTGGGGCAGACAGGAAAATAGTGCAGTATGTTCTGGTCTAACCACAGCAGAGGAGCAAGGCCTGTAAAGGGGGAACTGAGGCATGAAAATCATCTGAATGGGGTGACCTTTAGGAGAATATGATTCTTTACAATCTGGAACCAAATAAGGGTTTCATTCTTTCCTCTGAACTCTAAAACCTATCTTCCTATCTGTTTGCAATAGTTTAAATTTTAATCTATTTCATATTTCAGGGTATTATGCCCTGAATATTTGATTTGAATGCTGTGGCAGAAGGTCACCCACTTTCATTTATTTTCTTTTACTCTTATACACTGGCAGGGAGTCTTTTGAATCCATTATGCAAACTCACGCAAATAATATGCAAATGCCGTGGCCTCAGAAAAAGACAAAATCTTAAGGCCTTAACGGAGCCATCAGACCTTTCTTGAAGACAGAAAGTAATATGCCTTTTCAGAGTCTCTGGGGGTAGGGGACAATTTCCCGGGAGTGATATTTACATGACATTGGAATTGGTGGCTCAGAGCAGGCTGTACTTCACATTCTTTATGTTTATGTAGGGCTTTAAGGTTAGGAAAGCATTTTCCTACAATATCATCCCATTTGATCCTCATAATTACCCCGTGATGTAAGCAGGGCAGCTCTGGCTTTTCAGCTGAGAAGCTACTCTCTGAAGTGCAGTGTCGAAGGTCACTCAGTTAGTAGGCAGTAGACCAGAGGCTTGGTACCAGCCCCCCTTGGGTCCATACCATAATGGATGCCTTCTCTGAAGTAAAGCGGCCTGCCATCACCTTTGTTGGCTTAGACCATGCTTTTGCAATTGGTATCTTCAGAGGTTGCTTGTTGTCAAGGATGGTCTGCAGGCTATTAAAAACATAAGTGGTAGCAGCTTTGGTCGCTTTATTGATGGCAGTGACATAGCCTGTAGTATCTAAGGTCGTTGTGAGTCTGAACTAGGAACTGGGCTCTTAGAAGCGGAATGGGAGAACAGCGCCACCAATTATCTCTCATACATCAGCTGGTTCAAGGGTAGAAAAAGGCCTGTGGTAACTAAGTATTTACTGAGTAAATACTTGAACTTTTTCTTTCCCTGCCGCACCTTGGCCATCATAAGAATTACCACTCTTTCAATGGATTCTCTCTATTTCTTTTTCTTTTGTCTCTTCCCCCTCTCCTTACTTAAACAGTGTTTTCTGCAGCCTGGGCTGGCCTCAAACTTCTTATGACCTTAAACGGCTCATCCTCTTGCTTCTATCTCCCTAATGCTGAAATTAAGGGAGTGTGCCCACGACTGCTTTATTGGTGCTGGGGTGCTGAACTTGGAGTATCATGCATGCTAAGAAATTACTCTACCAATTGAGGTACAGCCCAAGGCTTCAAAACTATTTCTAAGGGAAAAGGGACCCCGAGCTGAGATTTTTAATTCTGCTGCGTTGGCCAGGCTGCTGTGTCTTTTAAAGTTGTTTTGTTTAACTTGAGCCAGGTGTGAGGGCAGAAAGGGGGTTCCACCTGAGCTGTTAAAACAGCAGTCCTAAGTCACCTGGGCAAGAGAGAAAGCAATCCCCTTCCATAGGAAGATCAGGAATGCTCCAGGAAGGGGCTGAGGTTCAGCTAGCAGAACTGTGGAAACTGTCACCTCCCGCCCTAGTTCCCAGTTTTGCAGCCCTCCCATCTGCTGGAGCCGAGCTCTCTGCCCTGCCAGCATGCTCCAGCAAATCTCCCAGTCACCCCGAAGGACAGCTAGCAAAGTGGTATCTGACGTGAATGCAGATTCCAGCATTTCCAGCCTTTCACCGGGAGAGAGACTATAAGGTCGGGAGGGTGGGCCAAACCCTTGAAATTGGCATCTGGCCAATGGGAAGCATCACAGTCTCTAAGGGCTATGCAACTGGTCCACACTGGTCAGGAAATGCACTGGGCCATCCTGGGGCAGGGTTCTCAGTTATTTTTGGCCAGGATGGTTGGTATGCAAAAAGAACTTCCCTTTTCTTCTTCTGCAGCGCAGAGCCACAAATGCCGAGCGGTTCACACAGCGTTGCAGCTTAAGATCAACCTTCCGAGTACCTCTCTGCCTGCCAAGTCGCCAGGGCTATTAGAGCGTGATTATACTGCTTGGCTCTGAGCATTAGCTAATCCGACCCAGCTGGGCTTGCTCTGGACCTGGGATGGCTCTGGACATCAGCTGCTTCTTTTTAGTGGCGTTCTTTTCAGCCAGCTGTGAAGCCATCGCCTCCTCAGATCTGACTTGCACTGAGGTGAGTCCAAACTGTGTCTCTACCCAGCTGACACTTGCTCAAAAATTTGAGATGCGGCATACAGATTCATGTGAACCTTGGCTTAAGTCTCTACTGTCCTAATGAGGACAACGGGAGATAGCAATAGGGTTTGGGTGCCAAGAACAGACCCTCTCAATCCTGACACCTAAACCATGAGAGCCGTTTGTGTGCCATCACAGCACATGGCCTCTCGCCACAGAGTCCTTCAGTTGCTTGGCTGCCACAGTGAGGACTAGTAACGACAGGCCCACTCCAGGCTTCAGAACAGTTAAAGGATCATTCTGAATGAGATTGGTTTTCTCCTCCAGTTGGACACCCTTCCGTCTGTCAGAATAGCCCACAGGAGTAACTGAGACCCAAGCCAACGCCAACCTTCTGTTTCAAACTGTAACAGTAGGAAGTTGTAGAGAGGAAGAGAGAGAGAGAGAGAATGGCCTCCGTCTTTTGCCATGTAAAATGATTCCACCTTCCTCCCGCGCTCCTTGACTCTGGCAAGTGGCCAGTCCCACATGGGCATGCCTGTCAAAGGGTGCAGACAGAAAAGGGTGGTTTGCTAAGTTGCTTTCCTACTTCGGGACTGAACGGAGAATATAAGCCAGGGATAGTTAGGGGCAAAAGGAATCTGAGACCATAGTTAGAAGTCAAACCATTGACTCAAGGCTAAGACTTCCCAGATGAGGGTATGAATCAAAGTCAAAGCCAGGACTTGAATGAAGTCTGAAACAGAAAGCTTGTTAGCCATTTGAGTGGATTCAGGCTGTTCACAGACCAGATAGGATAGCCAGGAAAAATCAAGGCAGGGATGGAATATTAGTTTCCTCATGCTTCCAAAACCAGTGCTACAGAGTAAGGAAATACAAAATAGGACTTATTGTTTGCCATTTCTGGAGGCTGGAAATCCAGGACTGAGGCTGAGGCAAGGTCGTTTTCCTCTGAGGACTTTCTTCTTGGTTTGTGATGGCTGTAGTCATTGCTGTAGGCCAGAAGGTAGTGGCAAGGTCGTTTTCCTCTGAGTACTTTCTTCTCGGCTTGAAGATGGCTTTCTTTATGGGATTCCAGTGTGTCATCCCCAATGCTTAGCTGTGTCTAAGTTTCTCTTATGAAGACATTAGTTGTGTTGGACTAGGACCTGCCTAGGTTTCCTCACTTTAGTGTAATCTATCTCAGAAGGCCTCCTCTCCAATTATAGTCACATGAGACACAAGGTCCTGGGAGTTAAGGCTTCAACCTAAGAAGTTCAGGGGTGCAAGAATGAGAAACAACTCAGGCTATAAAAGAAGAAAGGGGCTTCATCAACCCCAACTTCGCCTCATTCAAGTTGGGAAGTTGGTTTCACACATCATGCAGATGGCATGAAGGGATTGGGATGGGGACATCCCCTTCTCAGTGACCAAGAACGAATGCTAGTCACATGCTGACCTCATCCCCAGATGCGTTCGATCGCAGTACCACAGAAGTGGACTATTTGCAGTACTCTGTTCTTAACTGGGGAGTTCAGCTCTCAAAACCCTGCACCTAGGGAAGCCTGTGAGCCCTTCTGAGACCGCAAGGAGTCCAGGAAGGGTGAGCTCTGCCAGAGAACTACAGCAGAGCTACAGAAACCGTCTAACCACCCATGGTGGTCACAGGCTTCCGAGTTGCCAGTTCCCTTTTGTACATGACCCCTGCTTTGGCAGAGGGAAGAAGGAGGAGAGGCAAAAAGAAAGAAACTGCCTGGGGTAGGCGCTCAGTGCCATGCCTGTCATTCATGGGAGTAGGGCACAGTGTCCCAGGTCACAAAAGGCCCTGTATGAAGACAGTGAAGACTTGCATTTGGGGTAAACGCGTGGTAGTGAAATCCTCTAAAACAACGTCCCCACCTTTAGCTCGTGGTTGCCCTCTGACACATGTCTGAATTGAAATAGCCTCGCAACCCATTCCAGGAGCATTAGAGCTCTATTTTCTCTTCCTTCTTCTCTCCTTTCCTTCTAAGCAGCAGAAGTTGAAGGCTGTTTAATGCATGAACATGATGGGCCCATGTTCCAGACCTCTATGCCACGGATGAGGGGGAGCAAGACTGGTTAGGAGACACGTGTGCCTCTGATTGTCACGCGTGGTCCTCTCACATTCCAATCACCCCAGTTCTTTCTACCCAGCCTTCTCCTGGCTTTCTTTCCTGCCTCGCTCCACTTCAAGCATGATCGGGCACTCGTTCCCTGTCTGTTCCTGTGACCCACTGTCGTGAGCTTGTCTGGCCCAGAGTGATAGGAAGAGTTGTGTTTAGGTTTTTGCCTTCTTTTCAGCTTATTAAACTTTGTTGAAGCAAAACACACATGCAGAAAGTTCACATGGCCTTACCCAGGCAGTGAAATGCATTTTGACCCACGAACACAGCCAGGTATTCCACATGCAACCTAAGGCACAGATGTACTCAGTACCTCAGAAGCCCCCAAGCCTCCTCCAGGCCATGAGTTCCTCAAAGACATCTAGACTTGTAGCTTCTGTCATCATGGTTGCTAGTACGCTCTTAAAAATAACTTTATACAATAGGGACCATATCGTAGGAACTCCTTTTGCCTGAATCCTTTTGACTGGCATTAAATTGGTGACACTTTCGGATGACCTGTACGATAGTGGTTTGTTGGTTCCTACTGTTCAGTGACGCACTGTTCGGTGGAAGCTCCCATCATCTATTTATTTCTCTACTATTAATAGGAAATTGCATTTATAATTTTTGGAAGTTATGTATGACACTGGTTTTAAGCTTTCTTGATTATGCCTTTCTTTAGAAAACAAATTTGTGTTATATGAGTACCTGAATAGATGTATTTCCCATAGTGTGTGTGTGTGTGTGTGTGTATCTTGTAGACATCACAGATTTATAAAGCATCACTAATAATTAACAGCCCTTGGCACTGTGTGTGATGTTTCATTGCTCCTGAGTCTTGTTAACATTTGATAATAAATGTGTGCCATCCTGATGGCTGGGAAGGAGCATTTCATTGGGATTCAATTTTTATTTCTCCGATGAATTATTAAATTGAGAACATGTTCACAGTTGCTTACATAGTCCTCTCTCCTGGCACTGCCGAGAGGCCAACCCAGTGCCACCCTCCTTCTGGGCAAGCATTCTGACACTCCTGCACCCTCAGCCCTCTACAGCGACATTTGTGTGGGTGCAGTGCTTGAGTCTTTTGCCCATTTTCTCCCTTGTTGTCTTGATTTGATAGCCAATATCTATTCTTCTACTCTGAGACTTCTCTTTCAACTTTCTGAAAGGTATCTTTTGCCAACTGGAAGTTCTTAATATTATTGTAACTTGATTGAACATTTCTTTCCTCAATTTTCAGTACATTTCTGTCCAGTTTAAGAAATCTTTTGTCTACCCCAAAGCTATGATGATATTATCCTACAGTTTCTTCTGGAAGATTTATTGTTTCATATTTCTAAGTTTTAACAGCTCAAAAACTGATATGTATATATATGCATATATATGCATGTTGGGTAGAAGTCAGAACTGATATTTTAATAAATTTTTTGCTTAAAAAAAGTTTCAACCTACACCAAGCTCTGAGAAAATTATAATAAAAACTCATGACCACTCCACAGAGAATCCTCTGTTGCTAAACGCCCCATGTTTTCTGTATGCGTGTAACAAAATTACAACCATGACCTGGCCTTTAGAGACTAGCGAATAATTCAGACTATCTGGAATGCAGTGCTCTGTAATTGCTGCTGTTGGAATATTTTCAGTGTACTCTGAAATAGTTCCTTGGACCTGCAGGCTTGCTCCCCACCCCCATTACACATGGGCTCATCTTAGTCACTCTGTCCATTCAAAACCAGGTAAGACCAAGTCCTTCTGTTTCTAGGAATGGGGTGGGTGGGCTTTACTTGGCAGTGCCCTCTTTGAAGAACTCCAACTTCACAGATGCACTAGCTTCCCAGGACCAGGATGATGGGGAATGAGATGATCCCTGAAGCAGGCACTCCTGCTCAGGGCTAAAGTCCTTTGTCTGGAGACTTCTCAGCACACAGTGGTAGGGTGTGCTTCTTATCCCCAAGCTATAGCTGTTAAGAAGAGAGGCCCAGGCAAGACAGTTAATGCTGTGAGCTTAGACTTGGAGACAAGCAGGCTATTTCTGCAGAGCAATGGTTCTCAACCTTCCTTATGTTATGACCCTTTAATACAGTTCCTTATGTTGTAGTGACTCCCAATCACAAAATTTTTTCGTTGCTACTTCATAACTGTAATGTTGCTACTGTTGTGAATCATAATGTAAATATCCTCTATTCTGGATAGCTGTTATGTGACCCCTGTGAACGGGTCATTCCACTCCCCACACCCCCACCCCTGCAAAGGGATTGTGACCCACAGGTTGAGAACCACTGCTGTAGAGGCCCAGAAAACAAATGAGGTTTAATTGGAATGTCCTTCACCTGAAGGAGTCAGCTTGACAACACAATTTTAGGGATGTGTCTTCCGGAGAGGTTTCATTTGTTGTTTTGTTTTCAGAGAGTAATCTTTGCTCTGGAATTCAGCTTACCAGCCACATTGCTCAAGGTGTGATTAAAGGAAGGGGCTGGGGGTGGTGTCAGTGCTTCCTCATGCATGCATGTGTCAAGTGCACTAGACGTCTGAAAAGCTGGAAAGAAGCATTCCAGTGAAATCCAAAGGCTTCCAAATTAGAAAAATGTCTCAACGCTTGCAAGGAGAGAAAATACAGTGGGATGGGAGCAGAAACAAAATAACCTCCTGATGGAAAAAATGCAAAGGAACACCTGGAGGGAGAGGGGGTTGCTGCTAGGACGGAAACTTGCTCTAGGTAAAGAGGCCCAGCTCTGAGCCAAGCTGAAGACAAAGTGGCTGGCAGGGGTCCCAGTGCACCGCAGGTCCTAAAGAAATGCTTCTTGACACAGAGCAGAATGCGTGCAGCACAGGCATCCGAGTGGATTTGCAGCAGTTCTGAAGGATGTGTGCAGTTGCAGGCGTCTGAGTG